TTGAGAACCGCTGGTCTAGGCACGGTTCCCATATTGAGGTGTCTTCAATACATTTCAATTGGCGCAGTCGACAGGATCCGAAAAAGTGAGGACCATGACCGGTGTTAACATCCCGCTCCCTCTGGCATTTTTGCCTCTCCCGGGAGAGCCGAATGTGGCTTTCGATGAATGGATCGAATCCTTCGAGTTCTTCCTCACAGCACGTGGTGGCGATCCGAGTGACGATCAGAAGGTTGCGCCCCTGATGTGTTGTATCGGAGCAGAGGGTCAGGCCCAATATCGGGCAGTGAGAGACCAGGTCGTCGACCCACCGTACATGATGATGTCGGAGTACGAGCGCGCTGTCGCGAGGCTATCTCAGCGATTCGCGGATCGAGGTGGCATCATGTCGGCACGTCTAAAATTTCGTCAGCGATCGCAGCTTCCTGGGGAATCGATCGTGGAATTTGTGGCGGCTCTGAGGAAACTCGTGCAGAAATGCAAGTTTGGATCGTACGGCCCGAGCGATGCTGTCAAGGAGCAGCTGATAATGGGCGTTGCTTCGGAAAAGGTCAGAGGAACAATGTTGCTGCAACCCGAAGAAACAACGCTAGAACAAGCAATCGGAACAGCTTCGCGGGCAGAACGAAGCCAGATTGAGGCGAAAGAACTGACGTCTCCAACTGTAAATGCGCGGGTGCAACAGCCGAGGGGTTCGGACCAACGATCGCAGTGGTGTAGAAACTGTACGAAGACGGCTCATTCCTCACCGGAGGAGTGCTCGGCAAGATTCTCGAAATGTTTTCGTTGTGGAAAGATAGGGCATTTCGCACGCGCGTGCAGCATGGGTCGGAAATTTCCGTCCAAATGAGTGAAAATTGTTAGCGAGGACAATAAACCCGACGCGGCATACTCTTGTTACGTGCTGTCCGCTGATTGTCGAGAGTTACGTAGTATGATTAGAATCGATGATGAACCAGTCAGTGTCTTAGTGGACACTGGCGCAGCTGTCACCATCGTTGCTATTGATCAAATTCGGAAATCAATGGCACATATACAGCGGTGCGCAATGCGTTTAAAAACGTATACCGATGAGGAGATTGAGGTGATAGGAACCTTGGAGTGTAAGCTCGAGTTCCGGGGTCGGACGTATCGGGGCGAGGTGGTCGTTGTTCCTCAGGGACGAAGATCAATTCTGGGGAGGGACTCTCTAGCTGGGCTGGGCATCAGAATCGATTGTGAGCGTAGGACGTGTGACGTTAATGAGATAGGAATTCCGGAACAATTCAAGGAAGTCTTTTCTGATCGGTTGGGTCTCGTTAGGGGGTTCATACATCGAGTCAAGTTGGAGAAGAATGTTAAGACGGTACAGCATGAGGTTAGGAGGCTTCCGGTTGGAATTCGAGACGCGGTAAAAAAGAATAAGATTTGCTTTTAGAGAGAGGAGTGATTGAGCCAGTGTCGGCGTCAGAGTTCGTTTCGGGGATGGTCGTTGTGGCAAAGAAGGATGGCAGAGTCCGAGTATGCGTGGATCTGAGAAATGTAAATGAGAACATCGTCGCGGATGTATTCCCGATTCCGCACGTGGAGGATCTCTTCCTCGAATTGAAAGGGGCTCGATACTTCTCAAAATTGGATGCTCTCTCGGCCTATCATCAGGTGGAATTAGCCGAGGAGTCACGGGATCTGACGGCATTCATAACGCCGTGGGGGTTGTACCGCTACAAACGGGTGGGTTTGGGTTAGCGTCAGCATCGGCTGCGTTTCAAAGGATGATGAAGGAAATGCTGAAGGGGTTGGAAGGAGTGTCAATATATTTGGATGATGTTCTAGTGAGCGGCGCGACGCGGGAGGAACATGACATCCGATTGGCAAGAGTCTTGGAACGCATGGCACGCTGGGGTATGACATTGAACAGTGAATGCGTTATCGAAGCGGAAGCCGTAGGATTCGTAGGTTTCAAGGTGAACTCAGAGGGCATCACTCCGTGCACGGATAATTTGGCAGCGATTCGTGAGTTGAAGGAACCCGCAGACGTAACGCAGATAAAATCGGTTCTGGGCTCTGCGGGATATTATTTGAGGTGCGTACCCGATTTCTCCGATGTCGTGGAACCCATGCGCAGGTTGTTGAAAAGCGGGGGAAAATTTGTGTGGGGAGAAGATCAGCGGACGTCGTTCCAGGAAATGAAGAGGCGAGTTCTGGACGCATGCCCGTTGGCGATTTTCGACCCTCAGAGGGAGACTATCGTGGCGACGGATGCGTCGGACTGCGGATTAGGAGGAGTACTATTTCAAGTGTATGTTGGGAAATCACCTCTGTTTCTGTGAACAAGGTCATTCCCATTACTGTCTCAAAAGTTTTCAGAAGTCAGTGTTTCACTTGAGTTGATTACACTTGTTTGCATGATAATTATACTTAAATATGTAAGCCAAGAAACCCTGATCTAATTGATACAGAAAAAGACTGAATAGTCTTTTTCTGGAGAACTCTTTACGTTTTTCCACTGTAAGGGTCTATGGAACCCGGACGGTATATAAGGCACACTGAAATAAACATCAGACACAGATTCTTCTGTCACACGCAATCCTTGCGTCCTCATTCTTGAGAAGCACCTTCCCTGCCAGCCCTCGACCCTCGGAGATCATCAGAACATTGTGCCGAAACAACTCTAAACTCCGGACAACGGACTCCTGCCGAACTGAGCACCTGCTCTGTGAGCTAACACTCACTGGGATCCTCTCGGATTCCT